CCAGGGCCCCGGATCCTCAAGGAATTGCCGATCCCTTGTTTTCTCTTTCTGAAGAAATGGGACGAGCCATGGAGGCTGCAGAGGAAGCCCTTTGGCTTGGGGCTTGGCCCGAGGTTTCAGATTTCTGGAAGAGTTGCCAGTCTGACCTAGCTTCAGGAGGTGAAATGAAGTCACCCCGTGAGCCAGACTGGACGATGGGAGCTGCTGTGGAATCCAGGAACTCCCGGGACTGTGACCGGCTGCACCCGTTGCAGAGCCAGTCCTTAACTGGGCTCCCAGAGAGTTTAGAGCGGATGGAAGTGGGGAGCTTCGCCCCCCTTCCCAACTCCTGGAGGTGAGCTGGAGGCTAATGAAACCAACATTTTCCCTCCCTGATCCGGGACATGGAGGGGGGATTAGTAGGAAGCAGAACCCCCCTTACCCACCCAGAGGCGAAACAAGAGGATTAGCGCAGCATTCTAATCCTGCAGCAGTGGGGGATCAGACTCAGCTGGCATACGGAATGCAAAAACCCCCTTTCGGGGGCCCTCACCAGCTTGCCTTCGTACTACCTCCTGCTGAGAATATACAGCCCAGATGGGGTTTCTGTTCCGGCCAGGGATGGATCCAGTGTCAGTGGTAGCCCGCGCTGTCTGTTCCAAGCTTCCAGGGATCCCCCTGGCCCCCCTCCTATGGCCAAATGATCCTGGCACTGCAGGGGGGACTAATCCAGCAGCCGGCTAGAGTGCCCCACCCCCTCCAATGCAGCAAACAGCTTAGCAGCCAGGCCCCCTCCCCCAGCAGCCGATGATGTTGCCCCCCTCCTTTCCAGCCCAGCAACTCTCACAGCAGCCTGTTGGAATACAACAACCAAGAGCAGCCCCACAGCAAGTTCTATCCCAGCCAGCCGTGGCCCCTCCACCCGCGAGGCCAACGCCCCTCCCCCCCATTTCAGAGCAACCTTTGACGGGACGCCAGGCAAGTTAGCTTATTTCCTTAGCAGGGTCTGGGCTCACGTGGATCAGTATGAGGACCAATACGAATCAGAACGAGACTTAGTGTCGGCAATCTCAGATGGAATGAATGTGGGGGAGGCGTGAGGGGATAGAATTATGGGTGTGGGCATGTGTGCGCAAGACCTCCCCACCCTGTGCTCCTCCTGCTTTTGGCACGTGACGGCAAAAAGGTTAGCCATCACTGGTATAGGATATCCTGCTGGGCAGGATGTTGGACTAGAAGATCTCCAAAGTTCCTTCCAACTATGTTATTCTGTATTATACATATGTACACACACAAAGACATTAGCTTATTAATATTGATATATAAATCACCACCTTCCTTGCTCAAGTGCTGCTGTACTGCCTCATTGTACTGCAGGTGTTCCTGGAAAGTATGAATGAAGAATGCTAAGAGTATATGCCAATGATATATACCGTACTTTTCGGAATATAAGATGCACTTTTTCTGCCCTAAAAGAGGTGGTAATATTGGTGCGTCTTATACTCCAAATACGGCCGTTTTTGGCCTCCTGAAACCCCACCCCACGCACTCCATTTTCACAAAAAATGGGATGTGCAGAGGGTTTGGGAGGCCTGCAGAGTGCTCTTGGGGGCTGGGGAGGGCAAAAACGGGCCCATTTTTCACAAAAATGGGGCCGTTTTTCGCAAAAACAGGACGTGCAGAGAGTTTAGGAGGCCTGCAGAGTGCTCCTGGGGGCCAGGGAGGGCAAAAACCAGACGTGCTGAAAGCAAAAACTAGGTTTTTTTACTTGTTTTCCTCTTCAAAATCTTGGTGCGTTTTATAATCCCGTGTGTTTTATAGTCTGAAAAATACATTAATCCTACAGTAGTTATGTAAAGCAAGAAGATTATCCCAGTAGGCACCTTCAATATATTAGGAAAAACAAAATAGGAAGATGCTGGAGGTTGAAGATCAATTTAGTGACAACAGCAAAGGATCATTTCATGGGAAAACAATAGTAAATCATGCCTGCATTTTACCATGGATAGAAAATATATGACTAATAATATAGAGCTGAAAGTTGTGCCCCTAAAGTTGGTAGCACTCAATGTGCTATTGAGGAGTCTTTCCAAGTAATAATAGCTTTTAGGATGTGGCTAGATTAAAGCCATTGATGCTTCTTACATGCTTCTGAAAATCTGAAGCTGCAAAGAAAAATTAAAGATAGAATTTGAAATACAAGAAGCATGAACATAGGAAAGTTCAACACAATGAAAGATTAAAATAATGAATTACAGAGTGACATTTTAGACATTGAGATGGACTAGAATTGGACATCTTTCAGTCAGAAAATGTTTACCAGTCACAAAAAACAAAGAAGGATTATTACTTTCATTGTTAGGAGGAATATAGCAAGAACAATATTTGGTTCCAGTCCAACCAATGATCAAATAATATTCATTAGATTTCATGAACAAACCTTTATTATGACAATTATCCAAGTTTTACTACAACCCTGATGCAAAAGAAATAAAAGTTTGATGAGTTATGATCAGCTTCAGTTTCAAACTGACAGAACATGCAAGCAAGATTTATTAATCAATTTCATAGGAAGACTAAAACTATTGTTATTAAGATCCTGTACCATTATTTCAAATTTTTCAATATTGTTTGAGTATTTAAATAGCCAGTACTGTTGTAATAATTAATGAGTTGGCCTAGGACCAAGGAGAACTACTGTATATACTTGCAGCTAAATAGTGCACAGATTTTGGAAGTGTATTTTTGGAACCTAAAATGCTTGGCTTATCCACGTGTATTTATGATAGGTACAAGAGCACTTTTGGCTTTAAAACTTTCTGCCCGAGCTACCTCATGGCATGTAATTGTAGGAATAAAGCAAAAGTAGGGTTGCCAGGTCTGCTTCCAAAAAATAGCGGACAATCGGGGAGGGGGGGGGTTAAGTAGTAAAAAAATTAAAAAATTTTTTACAATTAAATTATATATTTTCTTACAAACATTTTAACATGTATTAAAATAATCACTTCAAAACTTTACTTAAAATTCAGAACATCAAATATATTATAATAATATGTAAAATATTAAATTACATTTTACTTTGCTGTCGTGTGTATTTTTTATTTGACTGCGCAGCTTTGATCAATTCTTTGTGTTTAAGGAATAATTCTTTAATTTCAGTACAACGTTGAGAAATATTAAAAAAATATACAAAGTTCACTTCGAACTGATACAAGTAGTCGGTTACGTTTGTCAGTCCACAAATTTCCCATGACGCTGAAAATTCGTTCAACGTTTGCATTTGATACCGGAATTGATGCACAATACTGAAACAGTTTCAGTAAACTCGGAGCTGGCTCTTTCTTGAAAAAGTACGTCCACTTATCATGAATCGCCCTGCAAATGAACATAAACTTCTTCTAAGGCAGAAATTTCATCGAAGAGAGTGTTCGGTGGAAGTTCTTCTTGCCATGATGATAATAACCAGATGTTCGTCATTTCTTCTAAAGTTGGAGGATTATTGCGATCAATTAGATTGAAACAACTTAGCATCTCATATACTGAATCGGTGAAATTATACCACTTTTCTAGGTACGCAATGGCTCTTTGATACACATTGATGGCTTCTTTCTTGAACTTTTGCACAGCATTCTCAGGCAAATGTTTTTTACGTAAGGCAAATAAAACTTTCATTCCAAAAAACTGCTCATCATATTTTTTTTGCAAAGAATCACGCAGCTTACACATGATAATGTGAAGATCACATGCAAGAATTTTCTTGCTTTCCAGCTTCAGTAGGGTGTCTTGCATTATTGACATGAAGAAGTGCGTGAATACAATTCTGAAATTGTTGGTTCATCGTCCTTTGCGAGTTCATTTTCCTGATCCGAAATAAGGTTCCAAATAACCTTATGGCACTCATCAGATCCAAGAGAAATAAAATACGATTTTAGAGGTATCCAGTTTAAAAGAAGTCTTTCGACCGCTTTAAGCAAACTTAACCAACGTGTTGGAACATGGCGCAAAACTTCATGGAATTCTGACTCGCAAAACTCAAAAAATGATTTCAACTCTTCTCGTTTCTTCGCAGAATTCGAAAATTCGGCAAAAAACCTTCAGCACTACATTTTAGATAACAAAAGATAACTGCTTTAATGCATTTTTTGCGCTGTTGTGTAAAATGTGATTATTGCAATGAGCATTCGATCTTTGTCTCATTCTAACTTATGAAAAAAAAGACAAAACGCGATTCTCCTATCCTTATTCTCTTAGACTGTACATCTTTAGATTACGTACCATTTCATCATATAGCTTTTGAATAAAAAAAAGTCCACTATTTTGTGAAAAAAAATAGTGAACATAATGTGAAAAAAGTGGACTGTCCGCTCAAATAGTGGACACCTGGCAACCCTAGCCCATGTAGGCTGCCTTGAAGAAAACTAGGATAGAAATCTACCCCATAATCCTATAGAGTGATCTTAGTGTGTTTATATTTTAGTATTGTGTTAACAATTCTATCTTTTACTTCTCTTTTATGTTTTACAAGCTCCAATTGTAGTATTTAACTTTTCTTGATTGTATTCTACTGAATACTCCAATATAAAATAGTATAAATGAGAGCTTTTCCTCAAATCATATAACACACTATGTTACCTTCTGAACTGAAGAAATGTCTGCTTCTTTAAAATAATATAATTCTTCTTTGATTTATGATACTGAAACAATTACATTCCAATTATTGATATCTAATAATGATTGTTGGTGTACTGTACCATTGAGAGAGAAATCACACAATTTTCTCTGCATAGACTGGAGAAAACACCAATGACAAAAATAAAATTGACATTAAAATAAAAATGACATTCACATGTATCTAGTTTGTCTGTACAGTATTATAAAACTAAAAGATTAGATTAGATGAAACCTGGAAATCTGATACAGAAGCATGTGGACTAAAATTTAAGATGTATTGAAAGTAATCACTTTTAACAGGTTAAGGCCCAAAAGAATCAATGCTGGTTTCCAGTACTATTTTTACTTACCTTGGATGGAAGCAGCATCCAGAAAGCCAATCTGTGTGACCTTCACCCTTCACGATAATGTTCCCATTAGGAAAGGCCCACATTTTCCATAAGCGATCATCACTTCCAGTGACAATAATATCTTTTCTTGGATGTAAAGCCAAGCTGTAAGTAGCAAACAAAGAAATTGAAGATTAAAACTGAACAAAAAATGATATAATTTAGAAACTGGACTGAAAGAACTCAGAGACTAACATCACTTAGCTTATGTTTCTCATTCTTTGCTAAGTTAACTTCTGCTTTCAAAAAGGCTTTTTCTAGCATGACATAGCATAATATGGGAACGAAGCTAGAAATGAGCAGAGATCAACACAGAAGATGTTTAGATGTAAAAAGCCCAACCCATCTTCACTTTTTAAAATTAGCAACCTTTGGAATAAACTACTGTATTTACCAGAAAAAAACATGACCCTGAATTCCAACCCACCCCCAAATCAGTATGCTCCTAATATACTTTTATACTGTATATCTCTGCATATATTTGCCAAAAGGCAGATTCCAAGAAACAGTAGGACCAAGAAAAAAGAAGGAATCGGTATTAGTTGAACCAATATTATTAATTATATTAATAATATTATTAATTATTAATGCAATTTCCCTGTAACAAAAGTAGCAAAAGAAGGTAAAAAGGTGTTATCAGGATTTTGTCAGAACAATAAACAGAAAACTGTTGCGCTTAACACAATAATGCATGTGCTTCAGGAGGTAATATAAATGATGAAGAAAGGCATTTTGAAATTATTACTATATCCACTTCAATCTTCTCTTCTTAAAACTAAACATAGTTAGATTGTTCATTCTCTTCATTAGTTTCTACTCTTTTTCAGCTGTCTGAGAACCTTCCAAACTTCACTGAATACTTCTGAAACATTAGTTTCCAAACCTGGAAATCATATTTAAAATAGGATCTAATTAAAGCAGAATAAAACAGAACATTACTTTCTCCATGAGAAATATACTTCTTTTGATGCAACCTAAAATTGCCATTTTGCAAGAATCCCACTAATTTATATTGTTACTAAAATCAAATATCTTTTTTGCAACTGTTGTTAAGCTTGGTACTCCTCATCCTTAAGTGATGAACTTTGCACTTATGTCTGTTAAATGTCATTCATGTCTTTTCAGTCTATTTTTCTAACCTATCAAAACTTTTAAATATTATTTCTTTTCTAAAATATTATCTATCCAACCTGATTTATGTCAGATGTAAATCTAATTAGCATTTCTTCCACCTCTTTATCCAAGTTATCAAATTAAAAAATATTAAATTTTACAATGCCCAGAATGATTCAACATCACACTCCAATTGATGAAGAATATTTAAAAAGTACAAATTTAAAACTAAAGGTTATCAGGCAATCTAGCTAGAACTAGATTACAAGTAGTCCTCGATTTACCGCCATACATTTAGCAACCATTTGAAGTTACAAAAGTCTAGTCCTCATACTTATGACCATCACACCACCCCCCACAGTCATGTAATCACAGTTTAGGTGCTTGGCAACCAACATTTATATCATTTGCAAAATCCTATGGTCATGTGATCATACTTTGTGAGATTTTTGCTGGTTTTCAGCAAAAAAATGCCCATTCAGAAGAATGGATTCACATTTATGACTGTGGTGTTCACTTAAAGACTGCAGATTTGCTTAATAACCATAGTAAAAATGGTCCCCAAATCAGGTCTGACTTGACTGCAATGAATTACAATGGAAATTCTGGCCCCAATTGTGGTCATAAATCAAAGACTACCTGTAGTTTTCTAACAGCATTCCCATAATTTATTAAGCTAAAATTTGCTCCTCACAAGTCTACGTTGGTTGCTACTAATTGTTTCCAAGCTGTTACAAATCATTCTTGTTATGACCTCTTCTATAGTCACCCTGTATATCATAGTGTTAGAGTAAACTGGATCATTGTTTTTTGGATCATCCTCTCCCCCCACTCCCCAAGACAGAGACTATTCACCAGTTTTCCATGATTTTTTAAAAGATTATACATTTCTCAAAGATCACCCAGTTTCTTCAGGATCCTAAATGCTATTCACCTGAAGATTTATACTCTTTCAGAGTAAAACAAACAAAACTCATTCAAATATTTATATATATATTCCATGACTATTGTTATGTATATAGATTTTGGGTGGGCAGTTTGAATTAACTGGCCGTCAGCTGATTGGCTGACCACCACAGCTGCAAGGTATATAAAGGGAGCTGTTTCCCCTGGTCAGTCGCTGGATTCTCACTCTACAATAAAGAGCTGTTGTCACTCACTGCCTGGCTTGCTGAGTCCTCATTCACCCAACTTAACATTGGCGACGAGGATGGGATTTTGAGGCCAGAAGCCATGGAAAGAGCTGAAGCCATGAGCCGACGAGAGAGCTGCAAACCTGAATCCAGCCAGGCGAGCGAGCAGAGTACTTGGAGAATCTACCAACGATGTCTGCCTACATACCGCCAGCACCTTTCAACCCCGCGGAAGAAAAGTGGGGATCCTACATGTCCCACTTCGAATGCTTCCTGGTGGCCAGCGATCTATAGGGGCTACCCGACGTACGGAAGAAAGCCCTGTTCCTGAGCCATTGTGGACCCAAGGTGTTTGATATGGCCAAGGCCCTGTCAGAACCGAACTTGGTCCACACCATCTTGTGGCAAACGCTTCAGACACTGCTGAAGGACCACTATGTCCCAACGCCATCAAAGTACATGCAGCGGTTTGACTTCCGGCAATGGCTGCAGCACGAGGGAGAATCGATCAGCGAGTTCATCGCTGCCCTGCACAAGGCCGCAAACCAGTGCGAGTACCGAGACCTCGATGAGATGCTGCTAGAGCAACTAATCTGCGGAGTGAGAGATATTTGCTTGCAGAGAAGGTTGCTCGCAAAGACAAATCTCACACTACACATCGCACTGGACGAGGCGAGGGCTCATGAATCCTCCTCCAAGGCAGCCGAGAGACTACAGGGGACGGCACAGAGCAGACCAGCACAGAAGTCAGCCCCGGTTCACCAGGAAACCGTAGGCACCGGGAGCGAGGAAGAGTCAGACGAGGATGTCTGCCGGACCGAACAGGACCGGCAGGACTGGCGAGGCCACCGAGATGCCTGTGCGAGTTGTGGGGGACCCCATCTGTGCCAGACCTGCAAGTTCCAAGACACCATTTGCCGGCAATGCGAGCGGAAGGGGCACATCACTAGAGTCTGCAGAGCCAAGCAGAACCCCCATTACAAGCCGCAAAGCAACGCTAGCCAATCAGAGACGGCACAGCAAACGAGAACCAATCCGAAGGGCGGCTACAGGAAGAGCACAAAATCCAAGGATCTTGAGGCCTGCACCATTCGAATCGGCTGGACCTGCACATCCCCTGGGGAGAAGAACTACATGACGGTCGACATCGAGGGGCATGAGTGTGTAATGGAGATCGACACCGGATCCCCAATTACCATCATGTCCTGGGACAAGCTAAAGAAGGCCGTCCCCAGCATCCAGAGACAGCAACTATGGCACCAGCGGCTGGGACTGCGCGATTACCAGGGGAACCGCATCCCCGTGGAAGGAATTGGCGAATTCCAGGTGGAGTACGGGGAATTCCAGGAGAAGCTTCCCCTCACCGTGGTCAGCGGAAAGCTCCCAAGCCTCCTGGGCATGGACTGGTTCAGAGCCCTGGGCATGGGATTCACCGGAGTCCGCAATGTGCGAAGCACCCTGAAGGATGACCTGATGCAAGAATTCCAGGACGTGTTCGACGAGCGGCTCGGCAAGTATGTGGGGACCCCTATTTCATTCAACCTCAACCCCAATATTGCCCCCATCTGGCTGAAACCCAGGAGGGTACCTTTCGCCCTAAAGCCCAAGATTGATGTGGAACTGGACAAATTAATCAAGCAGGGGGTGTTAGTGCCAGTCGATCATGCCCGATGGGAGACCCCAATTGTGACCCCCGTTAAGCCAGACAGGTCTGTGCGCATCTGTGCAGACTATAAGTGTACAATCTATAAGGCCCTGCAACAGAGCGCTTACCTGGTTCTGATCGTACACTATCTGCTGCATTCCCTAGGGCCCGGCAAGATCTTCGCTAAACTCGATCTTGCGCAGGCGTACCAGCAGTTGCCAATAGATGGCGCTACTGCAGAGGCACAGACTATAATAACACATAGAGGTGCCTTCAAGTGTACCAGACTCCAATTCGGAGTCAGCATAGCTCCAGGACTATTCCAGAGCACCATGGAGCAACTGTTACAGGGGATCCCTGGGGTGGTCCCATATTTTGATGACGTGCTTGTCACCGCAGAAGACGAACGGCAACTAGGGGAGAGGCTGAGACATGTACTAGGGAAGTTCAGAAGTGCAGGACTCAGGATCAAACGCAACAAGTGCATGATCGCAATCCCTTCTGTGGAGTTCTTGGGGTATCGGATAGACGGAACTGGCATACACCCCACCATGAGCAAGATTAGGGCGATCCAAGAGGCCCCCACCCCCAAAGACAAGGCGGAACTACAAGCGTTCCTGGGACTATTGAACTTTTACGCAATTTTTCTAAGGGACAAGGCAACAGTAGTGGAGCCCCTGCACAGACTGTTGGCCAAAAAGTCCAAATGGGTTTGGGGGAAGGCTGAGGCTACCGCGTTTGCTGCCATAAAGCAACTCCTGTCGGCCGAGAGTTTTCTAATTCAGTACAACTCTATGCTTCCCCTAGTGCTAGTCTGTGATGCGTCCCCCTTCGGCATGGGGGCCGTCCTGAGCCATAGACTACTGAACGGTCTAGAGGCACCCATCGCCTACTACTCCCAGACTCTTTCGAGCGCCGAATGGAACTACAGTCAACTTGACAAGGAGGCCCTGGCAGCTGTCTCAGGAGTCAAGAAGTTCCACAAATACCTGTTCGGCAGAGACTTCGAACTCATCACAGACCATCGCCCCCTTCTGGGTCTCATAGCAGGGGACCGACCCACCCCAGCAGCCCTATCTCCCAGGATGACACCCTGGACCGTCTTCCTGACAGCATACTCCTATCACCTGGTACCGACCAGGGGTGAGCATGGGCAACGCTGATGCCCTCAGCCTTTGCCCATTACCGGACAGGATAGAGGACCCCACACCCGG